CTTTTGAAATGGCATAGCATTTGTGTGCTCACATTACATGTTTTTATCCCACCAAACAACCTGATATGACTGATCTCTTGGATATGATTTGACTTCATGGAGTAGACTTGTTCATTCCACTTTTAGGAGTAGAGTTCTAATTTTGTTCACTTTTGTTTATATTCATATTAGACTCTAAGATTGAATAGGCTAAACACAAAATAATTGACCTATGCATTTTTCTAGAAATAAAATAACTCATATTTTATGCAACAATTTCAAATACATCAGAGTTTCCTACAATTGTTATAAAAAGAAAAGCTATTTTTTTTTTTATCCCTCTTAACTATTTTAGCCATGTTTGGAGTGAACCAATTAGGCCTCATGAAGTGCTCCAGCCAAGAAAGGGCCTTTAACATGTATGATATTTAAATGATATAATTTTATGATTAAGTACAACGTTTAGGTAGCTCTCTTAATGTGATTAAAATTCATTTAACTTAGGATAGTGCACATGAAACAAAATCTCATTAACTCAGACCCTCTTCATTCAGAATGTATGATAATTAAATGGAAAAGAGATTTGAGATCACATTCACAGTTACATGTGAAGAAATCTTTTGCCAAGCAAAGGATATGGGGGAAAGACTTTCTTTTTCTTTGGTAAAACAATTTGAGAAACTAAATTAGTCCTAGTATTATAAAGGCATTTACTTGTATTATAATGTTAATTAAAAATATTAACTACTGCCATTGTGAAGGAAGATATTCCATATTTATTTATATTGGCAATTTAATCTTTACAAGGTAGAGACAATTAATGTAAGATTACAAATTTAAGAATTCTTGTAGTTTTCACAAATTCTAAGGATGAGAACTTATCCGAGATCATTCTACAAAGTTTAGGAAGGTGCCTTATTCCAGCTAGTTTTCAAGAGCATTGCTTTCTAACTACACTACCTGGTCTCCTATTTAAGAACACGATTGTTAAACTAATTAAATATAGAATTTTAAACAGGACAATGAGTTCCTTTGCTTGACATTCTTATTTTAAAATAGTCTTTACATTTGATTGGTTTATGTCCACTCTTTGTCTCTCTTAATAAATCCTAAAGAAAGGGATGGTAGCACAGAAAAAGTTTAAAGCAAACTAGGTACATAGCTGAGGAATATTCCCTTTTAACTTCTTTCTGCATAATTTTGCATGAAATCAACAGGGCCCCATGCTAGAAGCAAAACAGAGGTATTCAGATAAGGACACAAGCATCTCTGAGAATTCAACCCAATTTCCCTTCTGTATAAAATTACCTCTAAAATGAAGCTTAACAAAATTACCAATGTGAAAAAAAATGGTTAGAGTTATCATAGGTGGCTTTAGCCATCTTTTAATGATCTCTTAGTTCTATATGAAATAGATCTTGTTTCTAACTCACGGGCATTTGTCAAAAGATGTCAATCAGATACTCTGCACTACTTGTTGGACATGTACACTACACAGAGCATTGTGCAGAGCAGGGCTTTCCTCCTTTAATAGTCCAGAATGAAAGCCTGGTTAATGGTTGCATGGCACTGACCAGCATGGAACATGGTTGTACAACAGTCAGTTCCTGTTCACACTGGCTCCAGCTTGACTTTCTATGATGAACAAAATTAAAGTCTCAAATTTCACTATATATTGTATTACCTCTGTTCATTCTGGGATATCTCTCTCAGAAACACAATCTTGAGAGTCATGGATACACATGATTGACTGGCAGAAAATACAATATGGCAATGTAATATGAAACATATATGTGAAATACAGAGTGATAGCATCATACTATAATCTCTATTTTACTCAAATACATGCTAATGTCAAAGAGAGTGGGGCAATAAGGGAGGTCAAATAGATGACTCTTTAGTGTTCCATTTGACAGTGTTTACCCTGCATAATCTGGGAAAACAGATTGTCAATTAGGAAAGGAAGGTGATGTCAGATTCGCAATGTCTGAAAAAACAAAGACTAAGAGGAAAATGGAAATTTCACAAGGTTAATTACACATCTAGAAGTGGGTAAGCTCCTATCTAAACTTGTTTGAAACTGGATGTTTCAGTTATTCAAGGAAATTCTCCTTTTCTAAAAGACCCAATCAGACCACACATGACAATGAGAGTCTGCTCATCTTTACATAATACATGTATTCTATGTACAAGAGAAACTTGATAAAGTAGAAATTCCTGGGAGTATGAAATCAGACTGATCTGAGATTAACTTAGATAAGGTTTTTATTGACATATGATCTCTAGGCATTTATATTATTGAAATGTAATGCTTCATTACAATGACAACTTAAGTTTCATTAAACATTACCTTTACTGAGGACACAATAATTTCTTCTTAGAGGGACTATGGCTAGGATAAAGTATGATGTGTGCATTGCACCAGAGACAAAATATTAAGAAAATAGTGGTTGTCTTCCTCATCATACTTTGTACCCTTCTTCTAACTGATAACATTATATTTACAGGTATACCTTGGAGATACTGCAGGCTCAGTTTTAGACCACCACAATAAAAGAAAATACCACAATAAAATGAGTCACACAAATTTGTTGGTTTCCTAGTGCATATAAAAATAATATTTACATTGTACATACAGTGTATTAAGTGTGCAATAGTATTATGTCTAAAACATATATTTCTTAACTAAAAATACTTTATTGCTACAAAGAGTTATCATGTTAGGTTTCTGTGAGTCAATTATTTTTGCTAGTAGAGTGTCTTGGCTCAATGTCAATGGCTGCTGATTGAACAGGGTGGTGGCTGCTGAAGCTTGGAGTGGCTGTGGCAATTTAAAATTAGACAGTGAAGTTTATTGCATCAATTTACTCTTCCTTTCACAAAATATTTTTCTGTAGCATGCAATGCTGTGTGATAGCATTTTACCCATGGTAGAACATCTTTTAAAGAGTCAATCATCTCAAACCCTGTTGCTGCCTTATCAATTAAGTTTATGTAATATTCTAAATCCTTTCTTATTTCAACAATGTTCACAGCATCTTCACCAGGAGTAGATTCCATCTCAAGAAACCACTTTCTTGGTTCATCCATAAGAGGGAAGCCCTCGTCCATTCAAATTTTACCATGAGATTGTAGCAATTCATTCATATTCTTTAGGCTCTACTTTTAATACAGGTTCTCGTTATTTTCACCACATCTACTTCCTCCACTGAAGTCTTGAACCCTTCAAAGTCATCCACAAGGGATGGAATCAACTTCTTCCAAACTCCTGTTAATGTTGATATTTAGATCTCCTCCCATGAATCACAAATATTCTCAAAGGCATCTGGAATGGAGAATCCTTTCTAGAAGATTTTCAATTTACTTGGCCCAGATCCATCAAAAGAATCACTATCTATGGCAGGGATAGTCTTGCAAAATATACAATATTGCTTAAAATATTTCTTGAAAGTAAAAATTATTCCTTGATTCATGGGTTGCAGAATGGATGTTGTGTTAGCAGGCATGAAAACAACACTAATTTTCTTATACAGCTCTCTCACTGCTCTTGGGTAAATGATACACTGACAATGAGTAGTGATATATATTTTTTATTTCAATATATTATGGGGGTAACATTTTTTTTGGTTATATGGCCCATCACCCAGATAGTGTTCATTGTACCTGTTAGGTAGGTTTTTGCCCATCACCTCTGATCTCCACTTCTTTTGACTTCCATTGAGATTTATCTCCCTCTATGCACATGTGTGCTCATCAATTAATTCAAATTTAATACTGAGTATATATGGTGTTTGTTTTCCCATTATTTAGATACTTCACTTAGGATAATGATCTCCAGTTCCATCCAAATTGTTGCAAAAGGAATTAAGTCACTCTTGTTCGTGGCTGAGTAGTATTCCATAATATACATATATCATATTTTGTTAATTCACTCATGTATTGATGGGCATTTGGGTTGATTTCACATCTTCAATTGTGAGTTGTGCTGTGATAAACATTTGAGTTCAGGTGTCTTTTTTTAAAATGGCTTCTTTTCCTTAGGGTAAATACCTAGTAGTTGGATTGCTGGATCAAATGGTAGGTTGACTTTTAGTTCTTTGAGGAACCTCTATACTATTTTCCATAGAAGTTATACTAATTTGCAGTCCCACCAACAATGTAGAAGCATTCCTTTTTCTCCGGATACATGCCGACATCTATTGTTTTTGGACTTTTTAATAAAAGCCATTCTGACTAGGTTAAGGTGATATTGTGGTTTTGATTTGCATTTCTCTGAGGATGAGTGACATTGAGCATTTTTTCCACATGTTTATTGGCCATTTGTCTATCTTCCTTTGAGAAGCTTCTGTTCATGTTTTTTGCTCACTTTTTAATGGGCTTATTTGATTTTTTTCTTGCTGATTTGGTTGAGTTCTTTGTAGATTCTTGTTATTAGTCCTTTATTGGATGTATAGCTTGAGAATATTTTCTCCCATTTTGTAGGTTGTCTGTTTGCTCTGTTAATTATTTCCTTGGCTGTGCAGAGGCTTATTTTGAAAGAAATATTTTTATTTTATGCCTCAGCTGTAGGGCTCAACAGTGGGCTTAGCATATTCAGTAAACCATCCTATAAACGAATGTACTATCACCCAAGCTTTGTTGTTCCATTTATAGACCACAGGTAGAGTAGATTTAGCATAATTCTTAAGAGCTCTAAGGTTTCTAGAATGGTAAATGAGCATTGGCTTCAACTTAAACTTTCCAGCTCCATTAGCCACTAACAAGAGATTGAGCCTGTCCTTTGAAGCTTTGAAGTCAGGCATTAATTTCTTATTTCTAGTTATGAAAGTCCTTGATGGCATCTTCTTCGAATAGAAGGCTGTTTTGTCTATATGAGTAATCTTTTATTAAGTGTAGCCATCTTCATCAATGATCTTAGCTAGATCTTCTGGATATCTTGCTGCAGCTTCTCCATCAGCATTTGCTGCTTCACCTTGCACTTTTATATTATAGAAATGGCTTCTTTCTTTCAACCTCATAGACGAATCTGCTAGCTTCAAACTTTTCTTCTGCAGCTTTCTTATATCTCTAAGCCTTCATAGAATTGAAAAAAGTTAGGATCTTTCTCTGGATTAAGTCTTGGCTTAAGAGACTGTTTTGGCTAGTTTGATCTTCTATCTAGACCACTAAAACTTTCTACATATCAGCAATAAAGCTGCTTGGCTTTCTTATCAGTTCCTTCAATAACTTTTAATTTCCTTCAATAACTTTTCTTTTAGACTCACAGCTTAGCTATATGTTTGGTGTAAGAAGCCTAGCTGTTGACCTAACTGGGCTTTTGAAATGCCTTCCAGAGTAAGCTTGATTATTTCTAGCTTTTGATTTAAAGTGAGATATGTATGACTCTTTCACTTGAACACTTAGATGCCATTGCAGGTTTATTCATTGGACTAATTTCAGTACTATTGTGTCTCAGGGAATAGGGAGGCCCAAAGACATAGATATAAGGGAGAACAACTGGTCAGGGGAGCAATCAGAACACACGCAACATTTTTCAATTAAGTTTGCCAACTCATATGGGTGTGGTTTGTGGCACCCCAAACAATTACAATAGTAATATCATAGATCACCGAACACAGATCACCATTAACAAATATAATAATAATGAAAAAGCTTTAAGTATTGTTTAAAATGCCAGAATGTAACACACAGACATGAAGTAAGCAAATGCTGTTGAAAATGGCACTAACAACAGACTTCCTCGACACAGAGTTGCAAAAAACCTTCAACTTCCAAAAAGCACATTATCTGCAAAGCACAATAAAGGGACATGCAATAGAACAACTTATGTTTGCATTTTGTAGTAGCACTAGATACTTTCCTTTATTATTGCCCAATTTTCTTGTTCATCCAGTATATATTGATGGATCCACTTAACCTAGGCATATGTATTTTAGTATTTTTATAATATTCATTGCTTTCGGTCTAACTTACTATTTAAAAATAAAAATACTCAAGACAAATTTATATGCTCATCTAAATGCACAAACAGAAGAAATAGAAATAAGACAACAGGCATTAACAAAATCTGTGACAATCTGTGGAGTGTTGAAGAAATAGTTTTCCCCCATTTGGAGAATAATGAAACTTTGTTTCACTATGGAGCTGATGGGGGAATCAATGTCCAAAACTAATCATGGGAGCTCTGATAAACAGCAACTGAGACAGGAAAAATTGACAATAATATCTGCATAGCTTGCACTTCAGATAAAATTTAATTTCAAAAGAAGGGTCCATGAGACATGAGGCATTATAATGTAATAGTAAAGATGATAAGTCATTTAATAATTCTTAATGAATAGCAAGTAATAAAGGAGAGTCAGCTTGGAGCCTGGATTTATAGCAATCAGCTATTTTTTCAATATTATAATGCTATGGATAGTTGTTATGTATTCTTATTCACATATTCATTATATGCATGTAATTCATTTGTCCACTCACTCATCAAATACTTATTGAGTTTATATGACATAACAATGAGCTAGGCACATGGACAATAAAAGGGCATGGTCAATAGTCTCATGAAGTGTACAGTACAGTAGAAGAAAGACAAAATAAGTAAGTAAGCATATATGAATGGGACATTGTCTTCCAATATGGTAAACATTTGCAGGAAGCTTACACTAGAGTGGGCAAGAAAAATCTCTTGTGAAAAGATGTATTTGTACCAATTCCCGAGGGAGGCAAAAGAGCGAGTTATGCAAAGTAATGGGCATAAGAATCCCAGCCATATAGAAGACAAAGAGTCAAATTTGGCAAGTTTAAAAATAACCAGAGACCAGAATGAATTAGTGAGTAAAACAGCAAATGCTATGAGCTTAATTTTGAGAGGTGAGCAATTCCTTCAGATACTTTTGGCTATCTTATAAAAAATGACCTGGATGTCCAGGTGAGAAATAATGGTGTGATGAGAGCTAGAGCAGTGAGAGTGGAGATATTTTCTAGTGCAGAACAATATTCTATTTGCAGAATGAAGAGTGTTTAATGATTCAGAAAAGGAGAAATCAAAGATTCTGTCTTTGTTTTTAAGTGGAACAATTGGAAGGATGAGATTGCATATGTTTAAATGTTAATGACCAGAGGAGAAATAGACTGCAATGATGGGAATGATTCAAGCAGCCCTTTTGGACATCCAGTTTGATAGGGATGTCATATCATACCACCAAAATGGACTTCCTCCTCCAAACAATACATTGCTTTTAGTCGTGATGGGGGATTTTATCAGCCCCCTTATTTTACCATGCTCCTTTGGATAAGTGCTGCACACCTGGGACACAGTTTAGTATATTAAAAGATTTGGCCTGAAACCTTGGGGTATAGTCTATCTAATTGGCCAGAGTGCCAATGAAGCTCTTGATTTGGTTTATTAAGAACTTTGTCAACAAAGTTATCCAGACACAGACTAATATGTTTGCCTACAATTGATAAAATTCTTATAATAAATCCAGAAGTCACCATTAACACTGTACAATATTGGAAGTGGCTGCAGAATGTTGGTGAAAACTGTCATTAGATGAAAGGTCAAAATACCTAGCATTGAATCCATACTCTTTGACTTAAAAGACCCAAAACACCTCAATCTTTCTTTCATTACTTGTAAAATAGACATACATTCTTATTCCATTGGGTTGTTTTAAGGGTTAAATGAAATAATGTGTGTAAATATGTAAAAATACTAAAGAGCTATATACTTACCTGTGATAATTTATGGGAGCAATGCCCTGTGATGTACCAAATCTGTGGCCCTGAAAAGATAAAGCATATTGCTATATTTTATCTTGTTACATCACTTTGCCAATGTGATCTTAATTCATTTATTTGTGATTTCAAAGGAAATATTGCACACCATTACCTTTTTAAAAATTCCTAACTGTGTTTACTCCAATGTTATGATAAATTGATAATTATCCCACATTATCAAGCACTTTTTATGTCACCGAACCTTTCCTAGCTCTGTGATTTATTAAAATGTGTAGAATTCTGAAGAGAATTTCACTTGATGTATTTCCACAGAAAAATAAATTCTTAGGAATGCCTTTGGGGCATGGAGGAGAAAATGATGGAACGTGTTTACATACAGCATTTTTCTACCAGGGTACCTTCAGCACTTTTATATGACCTCCTCATAATATCATCATAGCAGGGTAAGCAGATGGTAAACATTACCATCAAAACCAAACTAAAACAAACAGCACATGCTTATACTCAGAGTTTTTGGTCTATATACATGACCTATGTTCTCAAGGAGCTGGACACTCATCATGCTATTTATTTCAATGCAGAGAATCTGGATTCAAGAGTAAGAGAATGGTGTGATACTACCCATGGTGATGACAAAATGTTTATTGTTTTATTCAAAATGAACTGAGACCATTTTCATTTTGAGTAAGCTAAGCCTGGAAGAATAACCAGTGAGTATGCTGGAGCCAGATATTGGAAAAGCTGAATACTATATGGGTTCTTCTGAAGTTCCCCATATTGTCTTACTTCGTAGCCCCAGATTTTGAATTTCATATTGGCATTATCTTTTCCAAATTATGATGTTCTTGTTTTTTTGGAGGGAGGGGTCTCAGAGGTACATTTTTTATGAAACAATGAATTCCATGCCAGCATGTCTTATCCATGGCTTTCCTTCCTAGTTTATCCACATGTGTCTTCACAGGATGCTGACAGATACAGAAATGGGTACAAACAGGTAAGTGTGGCCTAGAAACAGGGAAGGCTTATATGATGTTCTTTTATTTAGGTAGGTAGATAGCAAATGATATCTGCGAAGTAAATCTTTTCTCATTGATTCTATTGAATAAGAGGGAGGAGGAGAGAGTAAAAGAGGAAGAAAGGAAGGTCTAAGAAGCATTCCTTCAGTGAAATCCTCCATTTGTTTGTTATGCAAACAGGTGATAGGGCCTGGGGCCTTCTCATGTTTTATATTTGCTGAGAATAGTTTAAACCATGCTGTCCACTCTTAGGTCTTCCCTTACTTGACTCAACTATTATTATCCTTTCAACACTAAAGTTATTCATATTGGCTAGGGGAAAAAAATCTCTAAACATTGTTATTTCTCTTAAATAGGGTTATCAACAATACTTAAAAGAGCTGGAATGCAATAGTTTGTTTTACTGGTAGAATTCTCTTTATGATGTGATGCTTTAATAATATTTATGATTTTAGGTAAAATGACATAAATCCATCATAGTCTGTATCAATGTACAAAGTTGAAGTCTGATACACCTCATATGAAGAGAAAGAACATTTAAAGGGGACACTGATTCCATGTGTTATATGTACATTTTTGATAAGTGGTAAAGTTGAACCCATAAAACTAAGTCTGATTCCATATGGTATAATCACTCAGGTTTCTGGATTCTCCTGGTACACCCCATTCTCTCCATAAATGCATCTTTCAGTCATCATCAACTTAATGCCAATGTTGCATGGATGCCTCCCACATTTATACCAAGCTCTGATCTCCTTTTTTCATACTCGAATATCTAAGTGCCTAGTATCTTCACATGAATGTCTAATATTATTTTCTCACATCTCTCAAACTTATCAAGTCTAAACATACATTTTGAGTTTTCCCCAAACTATATTCCTGTTCTTTCCCCTCCCCAATGACTTCTATCTCATTAAACTACATCACTGTTAACATAGTTACTCAAAATAGAATCCATCTTTGTTTTGTTTTCCCTCTCAACTTCATCTAATCTGTTAGCAAGTCCTATTAATTATATCCTCCCACACCTGCACCCCAGAAAGATCTCAAATTCTACCTGTTCTTTCCATCTCCAACAATATTCCTCTGGCCTGAGCCATACAATCTCTTCCATGGAATACTATGGCTACTTCTTAACTTTTTGCTCTACTCCTAACTCTTACTTTCCTTTAATGTATTTGCTACAGAAAACAGCAGCAGCCCTTCTCTTAAAGCATACATTGCATCTCACCACTCCCTTGCCTCAATGGCTCTTCATTTCTTTCATAATAATATCCAAGGTTTTATTGCAGCCTGAGTGGCCCTGTAGAACTGCTGCTAAACTGCTCAGTACAGTAGTAGAAGGCACATGAGATTGCATAAGTTCAAATGCCATTCTACTGAAATTAAATAAAATTTAAATTTCCATTCTTCAGTTATCCTAGCCACATTTCAATTGCTCAGTATTCTCGTGTGACTAGTGGTTATCATCAATGCAGAAAGTTCTATTGGAAAATGGTGACTCTAGCTGCCGTTCTGCTCATCTTCTCAAATTCATCCAATGCCATACTCATCCTTTCACTTTCTAGTCACATATTTTTTTTCAGATTCCTGACCATGCCAAGTTTCATCTCATTCAAGAGTCTTTATATAGGTTTTTTTCTATACATAGGCATGTTTTTCCCTGCATTTGTTGTTTGGGTAGTTCATTATTTAGATTTTGGCTTACTATCTCTTTCCCTAGATATAGCTCTCCCTAGAGAGAGATATTGACCACTCTATCCAAAGGTCTACTTTTGTTGGTCTCTAGTTTAGTTCTATATTTATTATCAGTACTCTCAATATAACTTGAAAAAGTAATTTACATACAGAATTTGTTCTCTTTGTTCTTATATGTCTTCCTCACAAGTATGAAAGGTCCAGGCAATCACAAGTATGAAAGGTCCAGGCAAACCTTATGCTTATCTTGTTCATCACTGTCTACCCACAGCCTGGCACAAGTCCTCACACATAAATATCTGTTGATAGAATGAAAGGAGGGCGAGACTATAGCTATTCATATTAGATTCACATAGCCCTTGCTTTGGTAAATATTCATAAGCTTACATGATTATGTTTCATTAAATCATATATATTACATTCCCATGTGTGCTTGCCACTCATATATTCTTAGTATATGTTTATAAAACAAGTATTTCATAATCTAATCTCTATAGAAATATAGCTTTACAGTAATTATCAGTTTTCCTTATAAATAGTTTGGTATTTTTTACTTTTATCTTCTTTAATTAAGAAAATGGCTCTACAGTCTCAGTCTCTCCCATTGTTCTTTTTATTGTGGAAAAATATATATAGCATAAAATTACCATTTAACCATTTAAAAGTACACAGTTCTGTAACATTAACTATATTCCCACTATTGTGCAATCATCACCACCATCCACCTTTAGAACTTTTTTACCTTTCCTAACTGAAACTCTGTACCCATTAAACACTAACTCCTCATTCTCCCTGCCCTGAGTCCCTGGCAGTCACTGTTCCACTTTCTGTCTGTATGAATTTGACTATTCTAGGAATGTCATATAACAGGAATAAGCCATTATTTTCCTTTGGTGGTTATCTTATTTCACTGAGCATAATGTCTTCAAGTTTCATCATGTGGTAGCATGTGTCAAAATTTTTCTTTTAAACGTTGAATAATGTTCTATGTATATACCACATTTTGTTCATTTATTTATCTGTTAATGAAATACGTTGATTCCACCTTTTGGCTATAGCGAATGCTATAAACATGAGTGTACAAACATCTCTTCAAAAGCCTGCTTTCAATCATTTTGGGTGTGTACTAAAAAGTAGAATTGCTGGATTGTGTAGTAATGCTATATTTAATTTTTGAGGAATCACTATACTATTTTCCACAGTAGCTAAACAATTTTACATTCTTACTACCAATGCAGGAGGGTTCAAATTTCTCTACATCCTCACCAACATTTTTTCTTTTCTGTTTTTTCTTTTTTGATAGTTATTTTAATAGATGCAAAGTGGTACCTCATTGTGATTTTCATTTGCATTTCCCTAATGACTAGTGGTGTTGAGTGTCTTTTTGTATACTTATTGGTAATATGTGTATCCTCTTTAGAGAAATGTCTTAAGTCCTTTGTCTATTTTTTAAATCAGTTGTTTTAGTGTTTTTTAATTGTGTCAATCTCATAAAATATATGATTTGCAAATATTTTCTCCCATTCTCACTGGTTTTTAAAATTCTTAATGTATGTTAATAGTTATGCCATAAGTAAAAAAAAAAAAAAAAGTATAATACTATTCACTTGTACTTGGGTTTCCATAAGAGGATACACACTTCACTCTCCAATAAGAAGAGTGTTAGTATCACATCTGGGCCTCCTTTTTCTTGCCTTTCACTTTTCCCTTTGCAAGAAGAATTAATTTATCTGATTGATAAAACAGTGAGGATTTAACATCTATTATTGTTTAGTTGGAATCAATGATTCAAATACCATATACACATGTGTTCTCTGTTTCTACATTCAGTGTCTCTCAAACTGGTGGAATCAATATTTCTGATATTTACACTTTCCCTTCAGGTGGGTTTAGATTTGAGGAGAATTATTTAGTAATAAGCCTCATGTTTCATTGCATACAAAGCAATAGTCTCCAATTTGCTTTAATGGCAATAAAGTAGATATTTTGATCCCTGATGACTCTTTCTGTTTCTTGCTTGACCCAGGATCCAGATAGGAAAGGGATGTGATTATCACTCTTAAAAGCCCTAAGAAGTAACACTGAAGTAAGGGTTTTTCCTATACTTGGCTTATTATCTGTCTCATGACTGCTGAGACTACTTTCTGTAAATCTCCATCAATTCAATATCAATGTTACATGCTTTGGATGGGACTAAGCAAATAATTTCTATCATTTCAAATATTCATATAAAGTCTTGATGATTTTATCTGAGGTACTTTGTGGAAAAGATCCTCACAGTAGATGGAGAGCTAGAAGAAATGATGATAGAGTTACTTTTCTACACAAAT